CCCACACCACCCCACCCCACCCCACCCCTGCCCAGGAAGGCTATCAATGCAGCAATCCCTTCTCCTCAGGATTTTGGGCAGGCATGCACCTGCGCCAAGAGTGAGTTTAAAGCTGTCCAGGACTCAAACCGCTGTCAACTACTTAGGAGTTCAGCGACATAACTGTTATGCCATCTGCCGGTCCCACTGGCATGTTTTTCAAGACATTGGTGGTAATATTCAAGCCATGGTCAGTCACATGGAATCCAGTTCACTTAACCACTAGGCTACAGGGCCAGCCCTAGTGGAATAATTTATCTAAAACAATTCAGCTCTTCATATGTATCAGTCTTATGTAAGCCTGAATTTAATTTTAAGTGTAAATTTATATGTCAGCATTTTTTCCGCTGACATTCTGTAACTTTGGGAGGTTGTGTAAAACACTGAGGAGGGCCTCACCACAGTGGCACAGGAAGCAGTGACCTGTAGTGCTGGAAGCCACGGGGCTGACTGCAGGTTCAGATCCAGAGTCAACCTGAAACACACTAGGTGCGTGTACCCCAGTCCTGACTAGCTGGAAGGGCTGGAGGAAGGGGGTCACGGTGTGATAAGACCTTCCTGGGGCTGCCTGTCTCTGAGTCCCTCACGCAATTTCTCACATGCTATATCGCTCATCTGCTCTCTTTCATGAAAGAAAGAAAATAAACTTTGAAAAAAGGAAAGAAAAGAAACTGAGGAGACAGATTGCAACGGTGTGGTAAAATGCGACACTGTGAGGCAATCCCACATGGGAAGGTTCCCAGTTCATGACCTGAGACCTCCCTGAGTACACTAGACACATGGCTGCCCGTGAGGGAGCCGGACTGAGGCTTGGATGGGGATGGATTACAGTGTCGGGACCCTGTTGGTGGTGCTCTCTCTTTCTCTGTGTGTCTTTCACACTCATCGAAGAAATAATTAAATAAACTTTTTGTAAAAAGAAATTGAAAGTGCTTTCACAATGCATACATAATTCAGAATGATCATTTATATATTAAATCACTGTATCTTCAGTCTTAAAAAAATTAATGTTAGAATTATGTTCTACACTAATAATGGGTTCATTCTAGACGTCACATGAAAAAAAAAATTCTCTTCCATCAAGCTACTATCTTACATGTAATTTCTATTTTGAAGCCTGCACACATTCATTTTGCAAGTTGCATCTATTTTCAAAACCAGAGTTTCTAAATTTTCGAAGATTCTAATATCTTTCCAATTATTGCAATATCTATGCTTTATTACAATGTCCATGGATATGATTTTATTTTGTAATGGTTTATGAACAAAGATCACTGCCACCCACTCTGAAGAACTACAGAGCACCAGGTAGCCCCAAGCATGCACGTGCACTCAGAGGAATGGCCCAGCCCACTCGTCAGCTCACACAATGCCCACTGTGCCCTTGATCCTGAGCCTCGTGTCCCAACCTGTGTCCTGCTGACCTGTGATCTCCTCTGCTCATGCACATACACTGTCTCCTTATTAGACGTCACTTACAAAACATTCAAAGATCAAATTACAGAGAATTTTAAGACCGTGATGGCAGAACATCAAACCAAGCCCTAGGCCCTTCCTGAGAGACTTGTAAAACTGTACAAGTCACTGCCCAGAAAGCTGGTCCTGCACCCAGTTTCACGGGAGTCTATCCATTTGTCTTTATCTTCATTTTCAGGTCTCTCTTCTTCCTAGTTAATGCCCTTAAATTAACATAAAAGACCCTACTGAGTTGCAATTCGGCTTACAATTGTAATTGATCCACATTCAGGTTTAAACTTCAGATTTGATTATCAGAAATCCTGGTCCATGGTTATATGGGTCTCCTTCTAAAGTAGTCATGTTCTTTTTCCCCGACCTGGAATGATATTACAGAAACACAGTAACGAATCTATTCAAAATGCAAAAAGACAACTGGATTTTAATATTACAAAACAAAAAGTTCAGTTAATTACTTCTCATAGGATACTAGCTAGAAATTACCACTGTAGAGGCCGGCAGGTGGTTGGAGTGCTGGATACCCACATGGATGACCACAGTTTGAGTCTTGGACATGGTTCCCCACATGGATGACCATAGTTTGAGTCTTGGACATGGTTCTTTGTTTTTCTCACTTTCTCTCTCTCTCTCATTCTCTCTCTCTCTCTGGTCAAATTAAATATTACTAATAATAAAATAATTCTTTCAAAAAAGAAATTACCAAAATAAATATTTTTTGTCAGTGACTTATATAAGTACTAGTCACTAGAAACCATTTGTCTTTTGAACTTTCAAAATCTTTTAGACACCAAATCGCTCAGAGTGCCAGCTCTGATATCAGACTTCCTAGGTGGGGATCCCGCCCCAGCTCCCTGGGTCAGTAATCACTGGAGCTCAGGCAGTTCACTCAGACTCCGTAATCCTCAGGATATTCATGTGCAAAGTGGGGCGGTACTGTCGGTTCTTACATAACACATGTGACAACCCAGGTAATAATGGCCAACATGAAGACATTATTTTAAAATTGTATTTATTATGTACTGCCAGAGTAAAACTCTGAATACAGCGTATAAATATGTATGTAATTTATCGCATGCTCTCTTCCCTTGTATTGGAAAATTGAACACCTGCAACTAACTAGAACACTGAGCCTTCTCTTTTGTTGGTTGTCCAGTATATATTTTTCAAGCCCTTTTCATCACAGTAATTTATAAGCTCTCAGTCAGGGGAACTGCTGTGAGACATTGGTTCCTGATATCTTTATCCATTGCTCCAAAGGTTCCGTATTGGGTGGGTTTATTCGTTGCAAAGGGTTTCTAGGGAAAAAAAGAGTACAAAAAAACAAGTCAAACAACAGTCCTGAAATATCTAATTTTAGCAGAAATGAAAGTGCTAAGG